GAAAGAGTGGTCTGTCTTGTTAGCAGTGTGACAACTCTGGAATAGCAGGATTCTGTACGTTTTGAAGATATGTTGTTCTTTTTTTATTTAGTGTTGGATTGAAAACACAGCCTGAATCCAAATGCCCTGAGCTTCTTGCTAATTACTGTGACATGTTGCTAAGAAAAACACCACTAAGCAAAAAACTGACCTCTGAAGAAATTGAAGCAAAGCTTAAAGAAGTGGTATGTTTTTGCTTTCTACTTCTTGATTATTCCAGAGAATGGATTTGGTTTATTTCATTGTGTGGTGGGTGGAGGCCTTGATCTTCAAAAACAGTAATGCAAGGTGTAATAACAGGGGAAAGAGATTATTATGTCATCCAGCGTATGCATTTAAATCCTGTAACTTGGGCAGTGTTTCATGTCTCTGTCAGTTCACAAACTGAATATGCTAAATTAATGCCTATATCAGACTGTCATGTATTACATTAACTAGTGTTAGTCTAGAAAATAGTAAGAGGAGGCTTTTACATACCAGTGTCAATGTCTTTTCTGATTTAAGAGAAGGTTCTTGATGGTTGGCAAATGAAGAAATCAGAGGTGTGGCAAGAGATTCATAACCAGTGTCTCTGAACAGTATTAACACAGTTGATCTTAAGGCAATGCCAAGTAGCCTTTTTCTACTTCACAGTCTACAGTGGCATTAGATCAGCATGCAAAGATTTGTCTGATTAACACAAATGTATTAAAATCTACTTTTTTTTTTTTACAGCTTTTGGTCCTTAAATATGTACAGAATAAAGATGTTTTCATGCGATATCACAAAGCTCACTTAACAAGACGCCTGATACTAGATATATCAGCTGATAGTGAAATTGAGGAGAATATGGTGGAATGGCTCAGAGTAAGTAGCCTGACATCTTTCTTTGGTTCTGCCTCTTGTTGTGGTACTAATTCGCACTCTCGAACTCTACATATCCCTCTTGCTTAGGTGAGTTCTATCTTACATTGCAAGCCGCTCAGGACTTCTTGTATTTCTGTTCCATTGCAGTACTTTCTGAAAGTAAAAGTTCAGCTCTTTTCTAAAAGAAATGTTAATCCTAATAGTGGTAGTGATAGATTTTAAAATATTTCACATCTGATTATGTGAAGGCTTCATGTATTCCATATGCAAATGAGCAAAATGCAGTGTACTTGTTGTTTAGGTATGTAAATAATTGGAGATGTGTTCTAATTGTGAAATTGAATGTAAATCAGAATATGATTTGCATGCCTTATGACTCCTTCAAATCTCATAATTCCTTGATTCCTTAATGCATGCAGATGTTTTTCAGCACTTGGATTTCTTTGAAAGAATCATCGTATGCTGTTAAGGGGTAACTACCTGTTAAGGGGTAGCTACCCTTAACATGATCCGTGGAAAAAAAAAACCAACCTTTATAATGCATTGCATTTATATTTTTATTGTTGATATCTGTATACTTTCATGCTCTTTTTTCTTTTTTGAGTTGATTATTTTTCAAGTAAAGCTTTTTGTTCATAGTTGTCTGTGTCATAGTTTAGTGTTCTGTTTGTTTATGCAGGAAGTAGGAATGCCAGCAGACTATGTAAACAAGCTGGCCAGAATGTTCCAGGATATCAAAGTGTCTGAAGACTTGAACCAGGCCTTCAAAGAAATGCACAAAAATAATAAACTTGCTTTACCAGGTATGGTTTTCACATGATTTGCTACTTTTTGTTTGTCTTAGTGAAAAATAATTCTGTTGAATCTTGAGTTAAAAATAGTATCAACTGCAGGTTGGCCATACTTAGGGCATTGTTGCCCCTAGATTGGAAGTGTCTGTAGACTCTCTCTTATAGTTGACACTGGAGCTATATCATCATTCATCAGTAAGTTACTGTGGGTTTTCATTATGAGCAATCTTGTAGATAACAGTCTCCCTACTCCTGTAAGTAAATTCCAAGCAGGGGCTTGAATCTGTATCAAGCAGGTGAATGCCTGAACTACCCCCTTCTTTTATGCCCTTATCATTCTTCATGAGTGCTTCATGCTGTGCTCCTCCTTTATCTGCCAGCAGGAGAGCTGGATGCATGCTATGAAGAGCTTAAATCACATTTCTGAGATTAAATTTCACTGATGAGAGAGGCTGAGGAACATCCAGGTTTGGACCTGCTACTGCTGAAAACCCTTGAGTAGTGCTTACAGGCATCAGCTATAAAGCTGCTTCAGGGCTTAAGGAGCTCTGCAGAGGCAAACTAAAACAACAGAGATTTCAATCAGTGTTGCTGGCAGAAAGCCAGTGGTGATGGATGGAGTACCCTCGTGTTTAAGTAGGTAGACACCCTGCAACTTTCTGAAAACTCAGTTCTCCATAATTGTATTTAGAGTAGGAAAAAAATGCATTTAGTTACTTTGTTTTGTCTGTCTGTTACACCTGGAGATTCACATCATCCAGTATTGTCTTACAGCTGACTCTGTGAATATTAAAATCTTAAATGCTGGCGCCTGGTCCCGAAGTTCTGAAAAAGTGTTTGTCTCATTGCCCACGGAGCTGGAGGATCTCATCCCAGAAGTTGAAGAGTTCTATAAAAAGAATCACAGTGGTAGAAAACTGCACTGGCACCACCTCATGTCTAATGGAATTGTAAGTGTGTAGGTTTTGGTGTATCAGTCTCAATGACTGTATTTTCTGTGTATTTATAGTAGTAAGAAAGCTTGTGATCCAGAAAGGCTTGTATGTAAAACTGTCTTTCTATTCACAGATAACATTTAAGAACGAGGTTGGCCAGTATGACTTGGAGGTAACAACATTTCAGCTAGCTGTGCTGTTTGCATGGAACCAAAGACCTAGAGAGAAGATCAGCTTTGAAAATCTCAAACTGGCAACTGAACTCCCTGATGCAGAACTTAGGAGGACTTTATGGGTATTTCCCTTTCTCTTCAAACAGATTGCTGCTTGGTTTTGGGGTTTTTTCCTGTACTCTGAAATACTGGAATAGTATTTTTAAAGCACTGTCGGATAACACTTTGAAACTGAAATGTGAATGCCTTTCATGCTAATCAGTCAGTTGTGACAATGGTTCCTCACACTGCTGCTGACCACACACAGCCTTTCTACTAACACTTTCTCTTTACCAAATATTATCTAACTTAAGTTTTTGGAAACAAAAGATCCTTTTGATCATATGCTGACTAAAGCACACAGTTATGATTGTGCTTCGTGGAGTGGGACTGGTTTAGTTCTGGGAAATCAGTGGCACCTCATAAATGTATGTTGCTTAAAAATAACTTCAGTGTTTGTTCTATCAGCCTTTTAATTATTTAGCTCAAGAATAAAGAGAGAAATCACATAAGTCAGGCTTAACACTACTTTTGTAGGTGTGAGTTCCTGCATTTTGCTGCTTTCTATGATTGTACTTACACTAACCCATTTCAGAAGGAGATTGGGTAAACTGTGTCTGTTCTCTGGTTTTATTTTCGTGTTGCCCTCTATCAGCTGCAAACAAAGCAAGCTATGTGGTTTCCTCACTACAGTCTGCACAGCAGTGATCTATGTTCTTAAAAAGTGATTGTTTCCATTTAGAAAGTCTGGTGTTTTATTTTCATTCTTCCCCCTTCCCTTTTCTCTGTAGTCTCTTGTAGCATTTCCAAAGCTGAAACGTCAGGTTTTATTGTATGAACCTCAAGTCAATTCACCCAAAGACTTTACAGAAGGAACCCTCTTCTCGGTGAACCAGGAGTTCAGTTTAATGTAAGATGATGTTTGAAACGTAATGTACTATTTTATAACTAAAGGAATTCACTTTAAGTTAACCTTCGCCCTTGACAGTTTCCAAGATTCAGAAAGACACATGCCTTGCTGCCCTGTCCTCACTTAGTTTTGGCAGTAGTCATGCTTCAAATAAGTGGCTGGACTAGCTGGCCTGCAGCAGCCCCTTCAGACACGTGTTTCTATGGTTCTGATCTCTGTGAAGTAAAATGTCTTAAACATCCAGGGATCAGGTGCAAAGTTGGAGGCTTTGCTACCTTCCTGTTCTAATGAGTTTCCAAAGAAAGTGGTATGTTAAAAAAGGAGTGAAACTACATAATAATATTTTATGTTGTCAAAAGCTGGGACTTTTGGTGTAGCTTTCACCAGAGAAGGGTGTCTTTATTTCGGTGAGAACTGCAGTGCTTTTACTGGTGCTGTGAAATCCCTCAGAGCTGAAGATAGTATAAAGAGCGAACATCTGAATGGTAGATACTACATTCAGCATGGTTTACTTTGGTTTTTGCCTCTCTTTACTATCATTGACTATGACTAGAACTGGCTCCTTGCTAGTAATCTTAAATTCTGGGTCTCATTCTCAGTAGCAGCTGGACCTCTGGATCTGTGGGGAGAGAAAAGGGTAACAAATCTGCTTTCCTGGGATTCAGTTTCTTGCCCAGATCCATGATGTTTGTTCCTGTCATCAGGATCGTGAGCTTTGGGAAATGATGAGAGGAAATGACAGAAGAGACAGGCTGTACAGAAAGCTTGTGGGTGACCCCACAAGAAATGCTACCAACTTTCTTTGTTACAAGAGCTGGGTTTTGTCCCTTTTTCTGCTAGACAGACACTTCTTTTGATGGACTGTTAATCAGTCCAATTTCCTAAACTTTGTTTTAAAAACTTCCTCCAAAGAACCCTAATTTTCTATAATTAAATCTAATTCTCTGAAATGTTACCCTTTAACACAGTCCTGGTAACTTTTTCCACTTTGGACACTGTCAGTTTCAGCTGATGGATTTTTTGACACTGGTATATTCATGTTTTGTCATCGGAAACACTGGCATTGAGCTGTGATTTGTCAGCCAGCCATCTCACTGCTGCAATGCCAATAGCCTGTAAATATCCGATATGTGATGGTACTCCTTGCTGCTGTCATTTCGGTTTAACAGGAATTCCTTCATTGAAAATGTATTTTTTGCTTATTTTCATACAATACAACTCTTTCAGAAAAAACGCTAAAGTTCAGAAAAGGGGCAAGATAAACTTGATTGGTCGATTGCAACTTACTACAGAGAGAATGCGGGAAGAGGAGAATGAAGGAATAGTCCAGCTAAGAATATTACGAACACAGGCAAGTAAACTGCCAGAGGAATATAAAATTACTCTGTTTCTTTTGTTCTGTTATCGTTCCTGCATGCTGTCTGTGTTTGGATGTTGATGTATGGAACGAATGCTTTTGAATCCCATTGGAACTTACCTTTGCCATTTGGCTTAGGTCCTTTGTGAATACCAGATCTTTTACCTGTGTGTTTGTGCACTTGTAGTTATCAGCCTTCTGTTCTGATGTGCGAGGGCATTGTTTTTAAAAAGGACAAAGCAGATTCAAAGCAAACAGTAAAGCTGTGTGTGTGGTAGTGGGTGACTTGAGCCACCATCAGGAACAAACAGTACTGCTGGTCCTGAGATCTCTGATTTGCATTGTGTGAAGAGAGTAGAGTCATCTCAGGGATTGGATCATGCTTTATAGTAGCAGTATGAGGTTTTGAGAGGCCCTCTCTTTAGAGGGTGGGTTTAGACATACAGACGTAGAGACTGCAGCTTCCTGCTCTGTGGTTGGTTGTCCTTCAGTCAGGTCTTTTGGGCTGACAGTTCTAAAAAAAATGTGATTTTTTTTTCAGGCATCAGAGATTATTACCTACACTGGAGTCTCAGAAATCCCATTTTACCTTCAAATGCAAGTTTGTTCTGTCAGTCAGATTAGATTCCAGGCCATGCATAGTGTGGATTGTACCACCTGACTCAACATCTTGGCCATACTTGCTAGAAATGGTGACTTCTGCTCAGAGAGTGAGTTAACATTAGGGTTTAGTGAGTAATTCACACTCTAAGTATAAGATTTAACTGCAGATTTGTCCGCGCTTTTCTTTTATCTCTTGCATCTTGCCAGTGTTTGTTTCTTTTTCTTTACCAACTTCTTTGTGAAAGCAGTTCAGTATCTACTTAGGCTAAGAAAGGCAGCATATGTCTGATTTTTAAGCAAAAAATACAGATTTCCTTGCTGCCTTGCCTTACCAGGAGCTCCCTATTAATGCTGTGGTCACTTTGTCACTTCTCCCAGGCATTTAAAAAGCATTACTCATTTTTCCTCTTGTCCCCCCCCAGGAGGCTATCATCCAAATAATGAAAATGCGGAAGAAAATTACTAATGCCCAGCTTCAGACTGAACTGGTAGAAATATTGAAAAACATGTTCTTGCCACAGAAGAAAATGATAAAAGAGCAAATTGAGTGGCTTATAGAGCACAAATATATCAGAAGAGATGAGTCGGATATCAACACCTTCATATATATGGCATAATTGGAGGACTCTGCAGGATGCTGAGAACACAGGCGGAAGGGTGCTTGGATAGACAGCTGCACCAGCTGTGCTGCAGAAGGACTTGTTTTGACTTTCGTTACGTATTAAAATCCCTGCCTTACCTTACAGAGGACTATATTTTGCCAATCTCATTCAGCTAGCATGATGGCATTCCCTTCATGTTGCACACTTTTAACAGCATGCTGTTTTGTGGGAAACTTGCATTCATGAAGAGCCCATTGTGAACTTTTTAAAGTAGGTTTGATTTACACCCACGAGGAAGAATACAGGTTTGGGTTTTTAGATGACCAGTACTTGCACAAGGAAAAAATATTCAAATATTCATGCACTGAGGAACTGCTATTAGTTTTGTTTTGGGTTTGGTTTTTTTGGGGGGGTTGGGTTTTGTTTTTTGTTTTGTTTTTTTTTTTAATGCAGTTAGGACTAGAAGTAGCACTTTCACTTTTGTGTTTTGGATCAACAGAGTAATGTACCGTCTACCTTTGATCCTTTTTATGTAATGACATTTGAGAGACACAAACACATGCATCACAACTGATATGTATTTGTTACAGTTAAAACCTGTTGGCTAGAGCAGTGCTTCAATCTAGTAACTGGATTTTAATAATTGACACAAGTGACATAAAGGTAATTCCAAGTCATGGGTGATATTTTTCCTTAAGCAAGAGATCATTGGTTTTAAATTGTTTGCTGTAAACACATGGATATACGCTATTTGTTACCTTATTTGGACAGATGATTTGCTACAATCCTTTTTGGGAAGGTAAAGCTTTTTCTCTTCGCTCTAAAAGCAGTTTTCATGGGTGGGCCTGTTATACCGAACAGAAATATTAAGTGTATTTCCTTGTACATTTAATATTTGTATTCCAGATATTTAAGTATGACTACATATACCTGAATGCATTAAAGAATAATTGATGCACAACTCCCCAAGAAAGAAGGTAACACTTGAAGATCCCTGGACTAATTCCTCATTGGTAACTTTATATATACATGCAAGGTTAATGCTGTTGGACTGGTTTCTTGCTTGGAAGTCAACATCTTTATATGAAAAACAAACTCTCTGCTTTTTATTTTTGAAGCTGGCAGAGTAGAAAATACAGTTATAATGGAAATGGTAAAAAACTAAGGAAAAATACCTTGTTTAGTGTATGCAGAGAGAGTGCCAAATACACGTCAGGAATTTCAGCTTTTTAATGTTACCTCTTCTATTTTCAATCATCTGAAGTAGTCGTTTGGCACTGCCTTGTCTCTCTGCTCCTCTGAAATGCCCCAGCATGTACTGGACTGATAACACGAGTCACTGGAGCAGGGTGCCTGTCTTGGGACAAAAGGTAAGTTGCGCTCTACTCAGTTCTGTATGAATATTCTTCTATAAAACACAAGTGTGCAAAATGTTTTTTAATTAACCAGTTCAAGTACAATATCTAAAGGTCTCATCTTCTTTGATGGAAAGGGGGGAAAGGATACAGTTAACTTTAATCAAAAAGGAAAACCTTCCAGTCGGTAAGAGGAGGAGTTTTGCTTTCACGTGGTTGCATTAAAGTGTACAGTAAGAGTGGTTGAAAAGCAGACTCCACAGGGGTGACTGCACCCTTAAATAGGCTGCACGCTCTACTAGTAATGTAAATGCTAGTGTGACTGCCTGAGAACAGTGTGTACTTGGACATCTATTTGAGTAGGAAGGGTTTGGTAGTGCAGGTTTGAGAGAATGAGAGATGGAGAGAAACTGAGACCTGGCCAATTCCCGTTGATTGAAATCCCACAGCTTATGTTACGTGCTTTTATGGATGCTCAAAAGTAGATGCTGTTTAAAAATACTGCATCTTTTCATGTTGGCCCTGTGGTGTTGCAGTTCAGAATCAAAAGCAAGCGCTGCTCTGTGTAGTTAACTAATAAAAACTATTTGAACGTTAGGAAGCTCTAATAAAAGACCCTTCTGCAAGACTTTCAGTCATTGTAACTTAGGAGTAATAAATGCTTACTTGGGATTACTGGAGGAAGACAGGACAGTCTGAGCACACTCTTTTCAATGTAAAAATTCCAGCCGTTAACCAGAGAACAAGAGGTGTGAAATTGTCATGCAGAAAGAGCTGAAAAGGGGATGATGCCAATTTTGAAGCCATTGATTTAGATTTGGGAGATGCTTAAGAGACTGCATCTTATACAGCTGTCGAGGGAGCTGGAGTGTGTGCAGAAAGCAACAGGTTGCTGAAAGCTAAGGAGCTGCATTTTCCCTCAGCTAATAAGTATGAACCAATACAACCTTATCTCTACATTTCTCAACACCTGGGATGCAGAAATAGAATTGGTAATGTGCCTATGACATGGTCAGTTTTCTTTAAATATATACCAGAAACGGATGTCGGGATTTTTATTGACTCTGAGACTCACACCAGCAAATTTGTTCAAGATGCAGAATCATGTTTAGCGTCATTCATCAGGTCACTTTCACCAATATGCACTTAAAACTAGTATCACCCGGGGCACAGGGAGATACCTGGGGTAAACTGTTCTTTTGGGGAGGGTAAAGTTCAGATCTAAATGAAAATGAACTATTCTTCACTTGCAATATGGCAACAACGCACTTTTAAGGCTGCAATTTTTAGCTATGAATATATATGTCCAAAGACCTAGCTTAAAGAGGTGCTGCATCTGAAAAGCATGTTGCCACGCACACTGCCACGGTGAATAGCTATGGAATGAAATCTGGTGTAGAAGAGAGGGGCGAAAATATCACTCTTAATGGGTTTAATTAAGAAATACTGTTAAATCTTTCTCTGTCCCAACAACTTGATGAGGATCTCAGTTTCAATTCTGAAGTCTTCCATTTTCCTCTTTCCACAGTCGGTGTCCCTACTTTCTGTTCTTACTCATCTACCTTTCATTTGTTGCAACTGTAATGCCATTGCATTTCCAAAAGACAATGCGACTTTCTCGTTTTCACCTTCTTAACTGGTTCCAAATGTTCTGAATGTTCACATGTTGCATTTAGTTGCATTGGGATGCCATTGTCCTGTAAAGTGCAAATTTTAGAAACACAATTGGCAAAAAAAGATTTGATAGTTTTACAGAAAGATTTACTATCTTAAACTCAAACTGTTTTCTATTTTCATCTAAATGACTGGGATGCTATCTTTGTAACTCTTTGAGGTCATATTTGTGAAATAAACAATACACAAGAGCTCTCCTGTCATATACACTATATGTAGTCTGGAGTGTTGAGCAAACTTGAGTTCCTGAGTTGTAATATCTATCTACGTATGGTATTTCCAATTTTGAATGTGTGCCACTACCAAGATAATAATGCTGTACAATTTTGAATGGTGGTAGTTTCTGTATGGCAGTCCAGCTGAACTATTTTGATGTACTGCTTAATTTTTGAATTTTATTTTTTAAGTTGTATAATTTATTTTCTTGCAAAATAAAAATGTAATATAAAAGACTGTTCATTTAGTGAGCTATTTCGGTGTCTTCCCCTGCGGAAGTTTTAAGTCTAATTCACGTGCTGCTCCTGCAAGAGGCCACCATATGAAATTGGCCTGATTCCAACTCCCAAAGTCTGTTATGATCGGAGTACTAAAAAGAAAAGTAAAAACTTCCAGTTCCTTTTCTTGTTCTGATTTTTCAAGTACTTAAGGTTGTACGTAGAGCGATTTAGTCTTCCAAATTGTATTTAAAGATGAGCTGTAGTCTTTCAAATCGAGCATATCACAGGCTGCCGTGCCAAAAGGGGTTGGAAATGCCCGAGTTCCTGTGTACAGCCTTCTTACAAAGCGTGGTGTCTCTGTGGAACTTCCTGTCATGCACCTGGATTGCTGAATGCTTTGGTTGATTTGTCTCTGAAATTACTTACAGTGACTGTCACTGACAGCTCCTGGTGGTGTCACCGAGTTGTTGGGACCCCCAGGTACCTGATTCTGCAGCAGACAAACAGCAGTGTGCGGCCAGTCGATGGCCTGATGTGTGTTTTCATGTAATGAAATGTACTGTTTCTTCTCTGACTGTCCTTGCCTTTTAATGTGAACCTCTTCTTACATTTTAACTCCTTTTTTTTTTTCCAAAGTGCACCAGCTAACATCAGTGGTTTGTGCTTTCTGGTATGTGCAAAGGTTAGAACTGCTTGTATGGGATATAAAGCTATTTTTGAGTGATTGTTCCATTCCTGCAGGCAGAACTTTGATGGGCTGACATTGTTTTCAAAGCTGTGTTTAGTCTGTTAGGGCAGTGTAGTCTTTCTGAGCAATGGTTTTCCAAGTGGAGTTCTCTAGAAATATGCCACTTATCATAGGAGTTGCTTACCTGAATCAACTCCTACCAGTGTAAATTTATCACTATTTAAGTAGAAACATTGACCTAAGTATGAAAAAGAAAATAACCAAATCCTAAACCTGCTTCATGCTTCTGACAAACTAAGAACTTGGCTGCCTTGCTTGCTTTCTTTGCTTTCCATGTCAACATAGAATCATCAAATCTTTTAGGTTGGAAAAGACTTTCAATATCAGGTCCAACCGTTAACCCAGCATTGCAAAGTTCACCATGTCCCTAAATGCCACATCTACACGTCTTTTAAATACCTCCAGGGGTGGTGACTCAACCGCTGCCCTGGGCAGCCTGTTCCAGTGTTTGACAGCCCTTTCTGTGAAGAAATTTTCCCTAATATCCAATTTAAACCTCCCCTGGTGCAACTTGAGGCCATTTCCTCTTGCCCTATGGCTTGTAATTTGGGAGGAGAGACTGACACCACCTTGCTGCAACCTCCTTACAGGAAGCTGTAGAGAGCTATAAGGTCCCCTCTGAGCCTCCTTTTCTTCAAGCTGAACAGACCCAGTTCCCTCAGCTGCTCCTCACACGACTCGTGCTCCACTCACAACCTCTCTCTTGACTTCTCTCTGTAGGTGTGGACATGGTGCCTTCATTTCACCCTCATTTGTTGCAGTGATGGAGACGTGCTGTGTAACTTCAGTTAGATACTGTGCTCCAAGCCCCACATGTGATCTCAAATGCACCTGTAGGAGAGAACAGTTGGGGTTAGGTAGGCTGCTGCTTCGGTCTGCTGATCTGGGGCACATCAAAGCAAATCTCATCTCCTGAGCTAAGGAGGAGCAGTGTGATTGGTTTTAATAGTCTAAAAGACTGAACGCTGCAAATCAGCGACTTTGAAATGAGTACATTATAGCTGCTCTTGGTGAGCAGAGCTGCTGAAAGAATTAAAGAAGGCAGCGCAGCACGGTTTTCTTTGGTTTTAAGACCGCTGTCTAATATTATATATGCAGCTTAGGATTTGCCATCTATTGCAGTCATTGATTTCTACTGCTGAAGCCACTCAGGAAATTACCACATCTCCTGCATTTTCTATAGTATGCAGTTGGAATCCGTCAAGCCCAGGTAAAAAAGCAGGATTTATTGCACTGAACAGGCATGTCCCAGTTTGAGCCATTGCTTCTGAAGGAGCAGAGGAGGTGGGAAATGAGCTGCTGGCTGT